GAAAATAGCGCACAATTTTATTCTATCCTCATTGCTAGTAAGAACTTTTAAATTTTGCCACAAACTTATCTCAATAGTTGATCGGGTTGATCCTAATATGTAAAAAGTAAACGGCGTTGCCGATACTTTACACAACTTTTAAACCATCAAAACATGTTTTTACGGGCACAGTGATAATCTGGAAGAATGCAATAACCAAATAGCTATGTATGCGACAGAAAACCAAGACTTTAGACATCAATGTTCTGCGACTGAACCCGTAATAATCGAAAAAATCGAAAAGGTAGTTTCGTTTCTCATTTTTTTTTAATTTTCGTATAATTTTATTACAAAGACACCCTTAACATGTAATAACATTTTAATCGAAACCAGCTTTAAACCGCTCTCTGTTTGATAGACGATTCAATCCTCTGCTTCTTCAACTTCTTTAGCCTTTTTTAGAAAATGCTTGAAGAAAAGTAAAACTCCCAGCATTGCCAAAAACGTTCAATTACCGAAGTAATCGTGCGTTATACATTTATCTTCAAGGCATAAAACCAGTGGAAAATCAAGAAAAAAAAAGATTTAAAAAAAATGTTACACAAAAAAAACTGCATCATTTTGATTGTATCGTAAAAGTTGTCAGGTTGCCGCCAACATTGAATTGTAGACATTGAATGCCGCACAGTCATATACATAAAAAGATATGCGGTGTAGCGTATATATGTATGTAGACTGCCATGCCTGATGGGAATGTGTAGCAATTTCTCTTCGTTTAACATTTCTTTACTTTTCTTATTTTTTCTTCCTTTTCATGACCACTTTTTCTTTTCTCTAAGATTTTGCCTTAAGACCAAAAAAAGTAACGCAGAAAAAATTAAAAAAGGAAGAAAAGAAAAAGCCGTCGGTAAATAATTAAACAAGAAAATAAAGCCTTATAAGCAAACATTATCATCATACGATGATAATACAAAAAGTTGCCGCACCGCCAGTGTAGACATTTTTACCCGGAAATCAATCACAGTAAGGGCAACATTCCAGATTCAACATCGATTTACGATAACATCGAAATTGTTTTCTTTTTCATTGTCTTTTGCGAGCTGCTGTTATTTTATACTTGTGATCATATATAGCCAGTAAGTTTAGCTATGCATGCCGCTTGGCCATACAGAGGCAACATCTCACAATAGCAGGTTTTACTGGTAGAGACTGTAGCGCCACCACGTAAACCGCAAACGCATTTACACTGCACAACCGCCTTACACCTTTATTATGGACAAAGCAGTAAAATAAAAGGCAACCTATACAGGTATCGGCTTATAAAACAAATCTAGTTCCGTTGCACTTGCACATTTGCTGCTAAATTTATCTCCTCACATGCTCCACGGCTACTCTTTCTCTTTACATTTTTTTTCCTTTTCTTTCCATAAATAGCACTCCATGGCCAGACCCCCAAACCGCCCAGACCCCCCAGCCACCAAACGAACGAATGAACAAAAATTGCATCAACACACCGTTATAAACACAGTTTTCTCTGTTAGTTGGTGGTGTAATATGAACGATTCATATGCCGTGCTCTCATGGCTTGTATGTATAATATATGTATTCATACACAGCTTTAGCATCAGCGTCAGCTTCAGCTTTGAATCAATGAAAGTAAACCAAACAAAGATATTTCGAGAAAATAAGCCAAAAACAGAAAATCCGCACAAAAAAAAACAACAACAATGATACAACGACAGCAAAACAACACTATTAACTTGTTGGCAGCGGTGAATAATGTTGTATGTGTTGTATGTGTTGTTTGTTAAGGCAGAATATATATATGTAAAGTTTCACAGCTGTAACAGGTGCTTTAATACAGCGGAGAGCGGATAACTCGCAGAGAGTGAATATTGGCCCCAAGAGAGAGGTTGGTAAACGTCCATTTCCAGCTGTGTTCTTGTGAGATTAATTTTTATAGTTCATTGATAAAAACTGAAATTTCTTTCAATTAAATTCAGGCTATGAGTAAACCAAGAATAAACTACTCATAGAATATATAGAGTTGAGAAACGCATGAGAGCAACGTAGAGAGAGAAAGACTTTGTTAGTTATTGAGAAACTTTGTTTTAAATTAACAGTTTATGCTAAGTCATGACTTACAAAAGTGAGTATAAAAAATGTTTAAATCTGTCTTGCCATGACGGATCACCTATGCCACATAAAAAGTCAACAACCAACTGCTTAAAGCCGCAACATTACCGGTGCTTCGCTCCACGGCTATGCTAGAAAACCTTGAATTGGTTCATTTATACTGTCCGCTAGAAATTTTGTAAACATTTTTCGAAAGTCCCAACGCGACGGTTTTTCATTTAACAGTTCTCCTAAAATTTAGTGTGTGCGCGTTTCAAACTCCCACCAATCTTTATTTGTCCATTCTAAAATCTATTAAAACCAAAACTGCAACAAACTTACGAAAAGTATTCTCCGCTTTCCTTCTGTTTAAAAGTTTTAAGAAACTAATTATCTGAACATATTAGCTCACCTCAGTAAATAATACATTGTATCCAAAATTAATGATGAGCGAACGTCTTATTTATTAAAATGTTTACGGACTTTGCCATTTTTTTTAGACGGTTTTCATTACCTATAAGTTAACAATTTATAATTAAATTTTATTTTATACGTCCACACTTTAGATGAAATGTTTTCTCGACACTACCTTTCATATCATTTAGTGCCGCTGACCTACACTTTTGTACGCCATTTCTTCGTGCAAGGTGGTCACATACATTTTTCCATACAGTATATACGTAATAATACATTTAGCTTATCGTACTGCTTATTAAAGAAAACAGCTAGTGTCAAAGGTAAGTCCTTTGATCGACATAGTAGATGTGCACAATTTCTGAAGAAGGCGTGCAAGCAAATCCAGCAAAAGCTCTATGTTAATTCGTCTTCACTTTTCTTTGAAAGAATATTTTTTTCTAAATCGGACATATAAACGACTTTATCACAAATCTTTCTTGAGCTGATGGGATATTTTTTGCGCTTTAGATTCCTACTGGCTTATTCCTCTTTAAGGTTAATTTCAAGAGAAGTTGATAATTGGACAAAAAGTTCAATTAAATGGGTCTAATGCTGCAAATTAATCTTAGCTTCTCTAAAGAATGGAGCTTATTTTCCCTTCCATTGTCTTTTTCTTGCAATCTCAATCACCTTCTTGTTGGATATGATCTCTCCTATCCCAGGCAACATCCTCTCATATTCGGCCTACATTGATAATGATTGTTTCAATCCAAACTAGTTTTGTATAAATATTTCGATTCCATTATAGCAAGAGTTTGCAGTAAGTCATTTTGTTTTGGTATCGAACCTTGAAAATCGAACTTCCAAGTGCAAAGATATGAGTACCAGACTTGGGCTTAAAACTGTGTTGACAGTTGTACAAACATTTTATGAATGGTGTAACTTAACAATTCAAGTTTGCTTTAAGAGAATTTTAAAATAAAGACTCCCAACTTAATGCTCGCGTTCTCTCTTTCCCTTGCTATCCCTCTATTGTAATCAAACGTTTCGATGATCTTCAGCATTGCTATTGTTCAGGTGTAACATACAACAACTCAGGCTTGCTTGCATTGCAGCGACGGCAATAAAAAGTAACCATGCATTGAAAAGTAAAAAAAAAAACATTACGCATGAAACAAGTAGACCAAAAACAAACTTACACTCAGTCCACAGAAAAGATTGTTAACAGTCTTTGCATTTGTATCTCGTTAATGGTAAAAAAAGAGTAAAAATTTAAACTTTTACTCTTTTCTTTATAAATGAGAGAAATTTTGAAAAAATGTTCTTCTAATTTTTTGAAATGAAATAAGCGAAATAAGAAAATGCAGAGATTCATGTGTTCAATTGTTTAACCAGATGTTTTGAGAGTAAAATTTGCTTTGCTGTGTACTTTTATGGATGGTCCGTTGAGTGTACAGAATGGATTTCTGAGAACAAAATTTAGAAATAATAACTGGAAAAATTAAACGCAAAGACTGTTAACAGTTTTTCCTTTGGACAGTGTGTAAATAGCTTATGTGTGTAAGTTTGCTTGAGGTCCATTTGTTTCATGCCTAATGTTTAGTTTTTTATTTTTCAATACGTGCTTACTTTTTATTGCCGTCGCTGCAATGCAAGCAAGCCTGAGTTGTTGTATGTTACACCTGAACAATAGCAATGCTGAAGATCATCGAAACGTTTGATTACAATAGAGGGATAGCAAGGGAAAGAGAGAACGCGAGCATTAAGTTGAGAGTCTTTATTTTAAAATTCTCTTAAAGCAAACTTGAATTGTTAAGTTACACCATTCATAAAATGTTTGTACAACTGTCAACACAGTTTTAAGCCCAAGTCTGGTACTCATATCTTTGCACTTGGAAGTTCGATTTTCAAGGTTCGATACCAAAACAAAATGACTTACTGCAAACTCTTGCTATAATGGAATCGAAATATTTATACAAAACTAGTTTGGATTGAAACAATCATTATCAATGTAGGCCGAATATGAGAGGATGTTGCCTGGGATAGGAGAGATCATATCCAACAAGAAGGTGATTGAGATTGCAAGAAAAAGACAATGGAAGGGAAAATAAGCTCCATTCTTTAGAGAAGCTAAGATTAATTTGCAGCATTAGACCCATTTAATTGAACTTTTTGTCCAATTATCAACTTCTCTTGAAATTAACCTTAAAGAGGAATAAGCCAGTAGGAATCTAAAGCGCAAAAAATATCCCATCAGCTCAAGAAGGATTTGTGATAAAGTCGTTTATATGTCCGATTTAGAAAAAAATATTCTTTCAAAGAAAAGTGAAGACGAATTAATATAGACCTTTTGCTGGATTTGCTTGCACACCTTCTTCAGAAATTGCATACATCTACTATATCCATCATTAGACTTGTCTTTGGCACCAGCCATTTGTTTAGTATAAAAACGACTTTTGTTTAGTAAAGACGTGTTTAGCGGATTAAAAGGGAAGAAAGCAAAATTAAAATATTTTTCTATGTGCGAACTCACACAGGGATTGTTAAGCAAAATATTGGAAGTGAATACATTAAAAGAAGATTGCATGTTGTTGACAATAATTTGCAAACATATTTGAAATTGTTTGTTTAGCACGTTAAGTACAAAAAAAGAAAATATTAAATTAAAGAAATTAAAACTTAGGCTGCCGGTTGCACATGACTGTTTTGTAACAATAGTGGTTTGCCTTTTTTTTTCTGTTTTTTAAACTCGGCAGCAAAGTGTTTTGCGTTTCACATTATTTCGCCAAGCGTAACCAAGTGTAAACTTTAAAGTTATTTGATCTAATATTTTCATTTTATACCGTGTATGCGTATGTGTTTAGTAAACACAAAAAACTTAAGAATTACAGTAAGTGTATAGCTTATATGAAAAGAAAAAAAATGTCTTCAAATAGCAAAATAGATGTAACCATGACGGCCACCAATAGCAGCAATAATAATAATAGCAACAGTCATTTGAAAGTGGAACAACATTCTAAACCTATATTAAGCCCTACACGTTCCCTAGATGAAGGCTTTGAAAGTGATCCGGATCGCATTTCAACTGATTCAGAGCATCAAACAAGTGGAACGTTAGGTAACAATAGCAGCAATAGTAGCAATAATAGTAACAATAGCAATAGTCATGTTAAACAACAGCAGCAATTTAACATTGGTTCCAATTTGGCGCAATTGTCATCAGCAGCTACTGGAGGTTTATCGGCCGCTCATCCAAGTGAACTGCCGTCATCTTCAACGCCAGTTGGACACAAAGGTGGTATGGATTTAACAAAAAATTCCAGGTTGTTGACAATAGGAGCACCGCAGATTATAAGACGTCAACAAAACATCATGTCAGTACAACAGCAGCAATTACAGTTGTTAGATAAATTTTATAAAGACCGAAGAATATCTAATGATGGCAAGTTTTTAATACAAATGAACGACAACAGCAACAGCAGTAGCAATAATAATAATAACAATAATAATAATAATAATGCCGTCAGTATGCAAAACAGCACACGTGCTACGTTGTGTGCAGCAAATACAGTTTCAACGTTGACAGCTGGCACAACAACTTCTTCGAGCAATGCTGGCAATGGTTCGCCATCTGCTACGGTGCAACGTCTACAATATCAAAAGCAGCGTCAACCTATGGTAGCGTCTGCTGCCGGTCATCAGTCAGTGCACAATCATCGCTTTACGCCGGGCGGAAGTGGCAATAGTAACAGTGGTTTCCGTAGAGCTAGAACTCGTGCCTCATCTCCTTCGATGCTTAAGACGAGCAGTACATTAGCAAATGTAGCTTCATCTGCTGTTACAACTGGTTGTCGTAATGGTATGATGGTATTGCCGCAACGCAATGCTGGATATCGTTCACATTCAGTTGATGCTATAACACGTCAACGTCATGGCTATGATCCCAGCACTGCACTGATATTGAAACATGAGGGTTCAGGTACAACATGCACGGCGACTACAACCACCCGGATGCAGCATTACATATTCCCAAACAGTGCGGCAGCTGGACAATTAGCAGCCGGGGCTTCAGCCACCTCCGCCCTATTGGTGCAACCTATTTCAAGCGCCACTTTGGCCTCTAGTGCTAATGTCCTACCAACAACCACAAATTTATTAAACACAACAAATGTCGGAGATGCCACTGCTGCTTTAGTAGCAGCAGCTGGTGGATCACCGGTAATCGCTTCGTCTACCAACAGCTTATATACATTTTATCCCGCCGAGGGTAACTTACAAGTATGGCAGTCAGAATGCGGTGATCTTAACTATAAATCATCGCGCAATCTTCAACCACACAAGGCACCAGTTTGTTGGACTCAGTCGATACCAAGGCAAACAAGACGGTAAGCATCTTTAAGGCACATAAATATTTATTGAGAAAATTGTAAATTAGCGCAAAAAACAGCTTGTACATAAGTTTAAAGCTGTTTTTAATGCATGTGAACCCCAGAAAGTAAGACTGCTTATAGGAGTTTTCAATGGTGGTTGAAAGAGGAGTGGAAGGACTTAAAAGCTTAAATCAACTGAATAAGTTATTATAGATGTATATGCGTGAACGTGGCTATGTTTATCTCCAATAGATTTCATACACCTCTTGGTGCCTCCAGATATTTTCATTTTAATATTCCCGTTCCAAAAGGGCTTTAAGTATTTTTAAAAGGTTGACAATGAGTTAGGGATTAATTAAATCTCGGTTTAAAGATAATCATAGTTAACGCCCGCCAACACTTGCTCTCCCATGTACCTTAGAGTTGTTTGCCAAAAATTTTTATATTTTCTATGTTTTTTGCGCTTTTTGCGTCTGAATTGATTTCGGATTGTTGTATATGCCATAGATAATATACTAAGTTTGTTAAGTACTCTTCAAATTGGCAGTTTATTCACCGTCGACTGTACAATATCGAACTTAGATTTAGCATCTTGAGAATATGGGAAGATCGAAAACAGTTTAGTTTTGCTTTTAGTTATTTGACTGCCTATCGGGCCATATAACTGTTGCCAAATTTTGTCTGAGTTGTTGGCGCGAACATTATGAAATTCCTTTGTTTACATGTCTGTTTTATCAGCTTTTTAGATCCCATCGTTGTGACGATAGAACTGTATTCAGAGTAGAGGAATTTAAAGTTAACTAAAAAACTAGTTAAGTTGGATATCTCCTCTCCTTTAGCATATCAAATTTGCTGAAATGTGCGAAATAAAGCAAATGAGGGGGACGAAAAGATTTAACATAATACAATCCTCTTTCCTTTCCTTTAATCAAAATTTTTTAAAATGATTGACATCGTTGCCGTGTTTTTCGCCCTATTATCAACATTATGAAACTAGTTTGTCTCTTAAGTATTTTGTTATAATCAACAATTTTTTTTCTTTTTTTATTAGGTGTCTCCTCAATTATATATATTTTGTGTTTAATGTAATGTAATTAATCGTGTATCAAACACAGAAGGGAAATAAGTGAGGCAATAACAAAAACAGTAAAAAATATCTGCATATGATATGAAATTATTCTCATAACTTTGCTTTGAAAAACAATTAATTCATTATTGTTATAAGAGAAAGTGCCGCGTATGAATTGAATTTTTCTTGTGTGCTTTTGTTTTTCTTTCTTTCTTGCTTTTTATTATTTGCTTTACTTAGTGAACTTATAAATATTATTGTGATTTTTCTTTTACTTGTCGCTACGTCTGGTTATTGCGATTTATGTAGAGCAACTGACAACAACAGCAATAACAATCTTCACACAAATCTCTCATATAAGAGCTATTATTAAAAATTTTTTCATAGTGTGTAATGACAATTGTGCAAAAAAAAAAAGTTAAATACAATAAAACCAAAACATGTAAGTAGGAAAGGAAAGGTGTTGTAGTATGCATTAAAAGAGGAAAAAGCAAGTTTAGATTCTTACTATCTCAAGTGGTTTGTGCCTTGTAATAATCGCGACAAGTCAATAAATTAATGCATCTAATATTTATCACCTAGTATTTACACCACCTTTAATTTACGGGTAATAATATTTTTGGAAATTTCGATCTCTAAGATTTAACAATACCACAAGAGTTCGTGTTTCTTATGTGAAAGTGGAATTCTTCGTCATTAGACGTCATCCTTAGTTTTCCTTTGAAGTGTTCACAAAATACTTTATACAAGCTTTGGATAAATAAGTAAAGGGAAAAGATATTGCAGAGCGATTTTTCAAGATGTTCAAAACCGTTAGTAGCGCTAAACTGGAATGTGATATCGGTCTGGTGGTAGTCAGCACATATCTCTGCTTCAAAATAATATCACCTTCAATCGATGACTTATTGCTTATTTTAGAAGCAGATTGGTTTGTATGAGGATGCCAAAGGGTGGGACTTTCGCTCAATAAAAATTTTTTTCGTAGAAAACCGTCTATGGCCTATATAACGTTTGAAAAGTGAGGCATAAGCGTGCTGTCACGTGAGACCGCTTCATTTTATGTAAGAATATTCACTCATTTACTCCCTATACGTACACCATGTTTATGGTCGGAAAGAAATAGGTTGAGATAGAAATGTCGTAGCCACAGCCTGGGAAATTAAACTCGGGTACTAAGATCTGACGGTCGCACATCTTAACGGCTTAGAAAGGCAGTATCAATTTATGGGTGCCAGTTTTTGGTATTTTTAAAATCATAATATTTCAAATCAAGAGGTGAATATATACCAGAATGTTAGATGTACTTTCGCATTAATTTTAGAGTGTGCTTCCGAAAATGCTCGTGTGTGCTTTTGAAAATATGTTCAGACGCAATAGCTAGAACGTCAAAGTAAACACGAGGGAAGCCGAAAAAGCAAGGCGTGCATATTATTAATCAATGCACGTGTAAAAAACTTGAACATGAGTGAAAGGTTTACTAAGTTAAGAGATTTTACAAGATTTAATAAGTTTAATTAATAAAAATTATATAAAAAATATAGAGCACTGGTTACTAGGTGGTCTACAGACTCAACGTACAAAATTAGAAGAAAACAAGTAAGTAAGTTTGGCTGTGTCTGAATCTCGCATCATCACCATTGAACGACTTGGCGCCCAATGCTTTCATTTGTTGTCATAAAAAAGTGAATGGATAAAATTTATCTTTCAAGTATTACTTCACTAAAAGGTAATGTTAAGAAAAATTAGTCCTTTTATGGGATACCCACGTCAACGATATCGTAACACTACGTTCTGACGTTCCCCGTAATTTACAATTAACACACTTATCTTGTCGCCTTATACTCTCACACGCCCGAGACCTGTATCGCTAGTACTATTGAAAACAAATTAACTCACCAGATCCTGGTGTCCACCGTATTGCTTCAGCAGATGATGATTTGCATTCATTTGAGGAAGGTACATAATAGTATTAAAGATATCTCCTGGTTGACCTTATGGTTAATAAGCATAAAAATTTAGAAAGTTTTTTACACATAGACAGTAGAGCTTTCCGTAAAACGTGCAAAATTTCAGCCTTCTATATTTCATAATTTCTGACTAATACGCAAAAAGCCACAACTTCTTTCTTCGAGAAAGTGAGTTGCGTTCAGCTAAGGCTTAACTGCGGGCGAGCGCTCTGACCCGTTTGACCCGTTTTCAATGCTATGCTGCGTGTAAGAACTTCCAAAGTTTCCATCAAAATTGAAGTCAATGTCTTTAACAGGAAAGCGTCAGCAATATACCACGCAGACAGACAGACGAATAGACATTGCTTAATCAATTCAGAATTTCATTCTGATCAAAAATATATATGCTTTATAGGGTATCTGAGTATGTCTTTTGGAACATTATGGCAAATTGACTATATCTCTATCTTTCAGTGCAGGATATAAAAATAGGTAGGAGTGAATTTCAAGGATTAGCATTTAGAATTTAAGACATCAAGAAGGATAGAAGGATAAAGGTTTTTTCCTAACAGCGCTGAAATAAGGAAGAAGCATGTAGCTTTCAAATAGGCACTTATGAGTAGTAACTTTGAGATAGTTTGGAACACAAAGTAGCTTTGAAAATTTGTTTTTTTTTTTGTTCTTGTGATACCGTTAATCGTTGATCAAGGGCTTTTGAGTTGCATTTGGGTAAAATTGTGGCCAAGCGGGCCACTGGCCACGTCATCCAGCAAGAAAAGTAGCAGCTTTTTGACGACAGACAGATTAGATTATTATCAACAAAAACAAAAGAATTTTCTATACCGTACGTTCCAACATTCAAAGTTTGGATTATATAACCTTGGCATTGAAATGATTTATAATTTTACATACATAAAAATTGGTGAAGATGGTTTGATACAATGTTATCTACGCTACGATATTGTGCGGTGCTCTCAACCTCTGTTGTTTGTTGTTTTTCTTCTGCGTGTCTGCAGATGAGTAATCCAAGCTAAACCTAAAACATTAAGAGCATTTTATTCTATTATTAGTCACGAGTACCAACATTTTTAACCCTTTCAGTGAAATCAATTTTTCATCGTGCAGCACAATAACAAAAATGGTTTATGATTTATTTTTGTTCACCATGCGAACTTTTCTTGTATTAAAAAAAAAAAACAAAAAAAAACCAAATGTATCTACCAAAAATGTTTGGGTGACTGATGACACTTCTTTAATCGCTTTTATGGAGCAATTACGCAAGAACGCACCACATCCCTTCGTTCACTTGTCTTCAACGGTCCGTTTTAAAGTGCACTGGCAAGTCCATCTATTCCCCTTGTATGGAAAACATGTATATATATCTGAAAACGTCTTATTCTTAAAAGAAAACATTTTCGGTCTGTCTTTTGTCTCGACCGTAATTATCGAAATACTGGGGGATTTTCTTCGTCAAAGCAAAGTTCGTGCAAAGGTGTGCATGTTGATTTTAATTTTGTTACTCACCTCATTACCTACTTTACTGTGCATCAACACAATGTTTAAGGCTTTAATGTATTTTTTAAAAATGGTTTTACGTTTATTTTTTATGGCCACAAAAAAAAGCAGAGTTTTTTCAAGTAATCTTCAGAAATTGTTTTCATGTCTTTTAAAACGAGTTAATAAGCAAGTTGACACCTTTAAAGATTCATAAAAAGGTTATTAAGCAGATATATGAATAAATTACATAACATAAATATTTGAATAAACAAAGATTTTATTAATTAAAACCTTTTTCGATATATAAAGGAAGCCATGACCAAACCCGATGTAGAGGAGACGGAATGAGTTACTTTACGTCTTTGGAAATACGAATAAAAGACTTCATTTATCGAACAGAATGATCCCACGTTTAAACAAATAACTTAAGTGGCAGAGTTTCTTTTCCCAATATTTATCCTTTGTTCGTTCCTTAAATTCATCTCTTTAGCTGATATATGCCG